GGTTCTAAAAAAATTTGAAACCCACCACTGATAAATACTTACATGAGTCTTTATATCACCATCAAGGATCCTGCTATTCTTTATAAACTCAGCTACGCTCTCATTCATGAGTCGGTCGAAAGCTTCAACATATGGTGCTAGCTCTGCGGGGAAAAATGCTGAACTGAAAGAACTGGCCAAAATTTTACATTCATGGTCTTTATTTCACATTCAAACATGAAAATCTCATACAACTGAAAAGGCAGTTTGTAAACGCAATTGTTGCAGAAGCAAACATAGCAGAGCTATAAAATGTCCAGATTATTCTTACATGGATTTTTGGCCATCTTTTTTTTCATACAGAGTAACACTACTTGCTACATAGCATGGAAAAGCTGTGATTATGAAATTTTGTAAAATAGATTTAAGATGAGCTGCTTCCAATCTTTATATTCTAATACAAGGTTCCTTTTCTGGAACCCATATCGTGGCACGACAAAACCGCGCTCGTCAAAATAGTGGTGATAAAACCGCATCGCTAAAGCCGCGACGTCATCACCGCGCATCAAAAGCGTGGCGACAAAAGCGCGCTTTAAAACAGCGCGGCGGCAGAAAATTTAATAATTTAAATTACGGTTAGGATTAGGTTTAGGGGTTTGCTTTAGGGTTAGGTTTAGGTTTAGGGTTAGGTTTAGGGTGCTGAGTGCTTCGGAAGGCGCGGATTTGCCCTCCGCCCTTATGTCAGCGCGGTAAGGTCGCATTTGCTTTAGCGATTCGGACGGCGCGGATTAGGGTTCGTGCGTATGTCTCCGTGGATAAGGGCTTCGCAGTATTGTGGTGGAACCAACCCATATATTTAAACCCTATCTACTTTTTAAGTAATAAAGTAATTAAAGCAAGTAATAAAATATGTTCAGTTTAGTTGATTAACATACATCTAGTTCCAAAGATTCCCCTGTAAATAATATCTACCGGTAGCTATAAATCTGACTGAAAAGGAGAATAGAAATAGTTTGCATTTAAAACCAAGTTTTCTTCCTAGGTAAAACAGAAGAGTTCTTTGAAAACTACTCTCTTGTACTATAATTCAACATATTTCAACATATCTATGTACTGAAACACTTGATAAAGTAAATGTATAAAATGTTAAGGGAGACGTATCCATGTTCTAATAATCATCATGTCTAGAGGTAGAATCCAAGTAAATTGTTCTAGAAGTCCTTCTGCCTTTGGACTGGAAAGGAGCGACTCCAGTTCTACCTTCAACCTACTGTACATGCTACAAATATGCAGGTTTTTTTAAAAAAGAAATGCAGACAATTAGTAAGTGATTGGCTCTTTAAAAGGAGTGGCATTTGAAGGAGGGAGGAGCCAACTTTAAGCTGTAACATTCAAAGTCATGGAGAGAGTATGCAGTACCAAATCTGGCAGTTAGCACCACAAATTATTTGGAATTAGCTGAACTGACCATCCTGGCTGGCCATAGAAGAAGCATCTGAGTGGGATAACATGCCCTGAGTCATAGCCGATGTCCTGTCCAGCATCACAAGCAGTGACTTAAATGCACTGCTATCTTGAAGCAAAGGACCAAAGGAGGAATTCCTTCAAGTGAACTCTACATGCATTCAAGTGTGAAGGTTCCCATCCCAGAGATGAAGAGAAAGCAAAGCTGGGACATCCAAGTGTTAGCAAGTATCAGGAAAACGAACCATTGCTTCTTAAGGTGTCCTATTATCAGGCTAGGACCTTTGAGCATTAGCAAGAAATGGAATTGGAAGGATTGTCCAGATGCCTTATGCAAGTGAAGCGTGGACCTTTGAGGCTGCCCTGAATTAGTCATGGGAGAAAAGAGAGGCCATACAGAGCATCACGAGCAGTGGGGTTCCTTTTATGAGTCTTTCAGGGTCCCTTCTTCCATTATCCTTCTAACCTTTGAAAGTCTTAATGTGGAAATAAAACAATAGAAAAATGTATAGAATATAGAATAGAGTGTGTGTGTATGTATATATTTAAAGTCACAACCCCTGGTATGCCCAAATATGGGAGGAGGTTCACTACTTCCATTCTCTGTCCATCGGCTCGTCATAAGAGACCATCCAGGCAGAAACCCAATATTTTTACTGTTGCCTTTGTTACATTTGTGTGTATTTGTGCCTTTATTTATTTATCAGCACAAATACACACACACACACACACACACACACACACACACACACACACACACACACACATATATATATATATATGGGCGTGACCCGACAATTGCGCGATAGA